ATAAAAATAAAAAGATTAGCAAACGATTATTAGCGAAAAAAATATGAATGAAATTTTACACTACGCGCGCGAAGTCAAGTTCCTCGCAAGTTTATCACATTTTAATATTAATCGCCCCATTTAATCATTTTTTTATTGTCGCCAAATTATTTTTTTAAAAATAATTAATTTTAATTTTTTTCAGCTTCTAATAAATAAAAACAGTTGAAACTTTAGATTTTTCTATTGAAAAATATGTAGATTATTATGGTATAAAAAAATTCATACCTTATAATTCAAAATTTTTTCATCCTCAATTTAATTAAATAATAAAAAATAATTAATAATTACTAAAAATTATTTTTTTCATGAAATTATCTTTGGGTAAATGAGTTTTATGAGTGGGCGCAATTTTCTTCAAATTGCTTCATTAGTTTTGAAAATATGACTAAAAACGTAAAAAGTGAAATTAACATTAACGGGTACGAACTTTGGATCGCTCTCCTGACCAAACTATGGGGACCATATTTCCCAGATTGCGGCTACCCCCTATATTTTGAAGCTTAGAAATCCAAATATGTAAAAAAAAAATACATGTTTATTCAGAGAAAGTACGTTTTTGTGTCCGATTTTGTAACTTAATTAATAGTTAGCACTAATTAATTAGCATATTTGAGGTCACCCCCGGGAACCATTAAGATCGACACTGAGATCGTGAAAATCCGATCATTAGAACAAAAGTTATTCAGGGTGATATCTTTTTTTTTTTGCTGACTGTACATCAGTTTAGACCAAGATTTAAAAAAATACATGTATGTATCAGAAAAGAACTTTTTGTAATACGCTTTACATCACTGTGTATTAAATCCAACTATTTCCAGAATTGTCGAATACTCTTCACTAATTTAACATTAATGTAAGCAAGATTCATGTTTACATTTATTACCTTAAACTCACTTTCAATGAATTATATATTTTAACAAATTGCATTTACTTTTATAGAACTAACTGAAGAAGAATCAAAGTGCTTTGATTATTGGCATAAGGATGTAAGTATTGTGACTCATAGATCTAACTTTTTATGTAATTCATAAAAGTCGTTCCATATGTAATATGTATTTTTAAAATCCTTGTCAAAATTAAAATAAAAAAATACGCACATGGGACGTCATGAATTCATATTTAAGCAAAGAAAAACAAAAACTTAATCAAAACGTTGGCAAGGAAAGTGGAGCTGAGTATGGAGACCTGTTTGATTGCTGGAGTATATTATTATAAACAAATCGTTTCAAACGAATATCGCCCTTATAACACCCTGATTGATAGTTTTATCAATCAAAGATTTAGGTAATTAGTTCTCATTATAAGTGCTTTCAATTTAATTTTTTTTTCAGATTTCACAATTTCTTTTCAATTATTTTTTTCATAAAAATATAAATATTTCAGACTTGGAACACTCTAATAGTATTGTTGAATGCTGAGTGTGAATTCAAGGATGGATACGTTTTCCCGGAATGGAAAAATGGCTCTTTATCTTCTGATATATTGAAACCCTTTGTCTGCAACAATAGAGACCAGGTGGTAAGAAATTTTAATTTTAATTGAAAATTTATGAAGAAATTTCTTGTATTATTTGATTGTTTGAAGCAGAGATGAGCAAACTTCGGCCCGCGGGCCAACTGTGGCCCACCGGGATGTTTAATCCGGCCCGCGGATCGAATTATAACTTGCCGATCCGTGACGAATATGAACAATATACATTATATACATCCATTTTCTTGTCTACTTTTTTAAAAGCTAATTTTGTTCTTTCTTTTTTAACCAAGTACTGATGACCTTTTTACTTTTTCTATTTTTGTTATACAAAACATAAATTTATGGAAATAGCTAGCACAGACAGCTTCAATTGGTAAAATGTTGAAAACTGAAGTTCCTTACAGAATAGCCATAAATTGGCGACAAAGAGCGTTCGATTTTCTCGAGGAGCAGACATACGGAATCTAATATAGGTGGAATTGTACTTCACAGATTTCAGTGCCTTTCAAAAAAAATTAGATATTTTCACCACGCCTTTCAACGTAAAATGTGAAACAGTGAGGTCGGATTTGCAGTTTTAATTAATTGAGTTTCAATCTAACAATCATCTGAAGCAGTTGTTTCTAAATATGCAAAAGTTGGTGTTTTACAAATCATTAACAAAAGCTAGTTTCCGAAATTTAATATCTCATGACCATAAAATCAGTGCCATGTTTGCTTCATCTTATATAGGTGAACAAGTGTTTTAAACTATGAACCTTAGAAAAAATGATTTCTGAAGCTAACTAACATACAAGCATTTAGCCTCGTTCCTTAAAATAAGTACATCTCACTTCGAACATCAATATAAGGAACTTTTAAAAATGAAATCGCAACTTCATTTATCTCATTAAATATTTAAATTAAAACATCTGCACCGTTTTTTTTCTGTTTTAGAAGATTTTACTTAACCCACCAAACTTTTTCTCTCAATGTTTTGCCCTCAATCGAAAAAGTTTGCCCATCCCTATTTTAAAGGGTTTTAGGTGCCATTAAGCATTATTCATTCCTTTAATTTTTTATACAAAAACATTAATGTGGGAATAAAATAGTATCATGAAGATATATTAACAATAAATTATGAGGACAACTTAGGTATTAAAATATTTTTATAGTTTACAAAAAAAGAGAAATAAAAATGCTGTCACTGACCGTATCACAAAATATCAGTCTTTTTCGCAAATTATGAGTTTCTTTTAATTTTATTGACTATCACATTTTTTTAAAATTTGTGGTTATTGATATCTTGCTCATCCCTAACACAGAGTAACTTTGTATTTCTTCGCAGTTAAGCAGCTCTAACTGATCAGTGTCAGATTTGTCTAGCTGTCCTATTAATTGTGTTTTTAAATGGTCAGTTGATAAATCAAGGTTGCGTAAGTCACAAGTTATTCTTTACAGATGTGCATTGCTATATTTTTGATAACCTTCAATTCATTCGCTTATTCGTATGCACTGTCAAGAATCCTATACCCTGAAATGCACTAATGTTGAAATATCAGTTTTCATTCATTGATGCAGAGGAACTAACAAAAATATCAGGTTGTTGCGTCATGTTGTACTTCGAAAAGAAGTGCTAAAAACAAAATCTGGGAGAGTCCCATTGTCATAAAGATTCAGCTTCGACCGGAATAGTCAACGATAATAATTAATATTAAGCATGTGTAGCCCAGTTGAACCAATTGCACAAGTAGATAAAACGCAAATGCATTTTTAAATGATCAAAATCAGTATTATTATGGTAGGAGATTTAAAAAAAATGAAAACAAAGCTGCCCTTAAGTAGTAACAATGGGATAAGTTATGCAACATTAATCAGGGTTTATAATTGTTTAAATAATCAAAGACCAATGTCTAATGGTTTCTTTCTTGTCTTTCAAACGAGATGCAAAAGCAAGCGAATTATAATAGAATTAGAAAATATGTTATGAGCCCTATTAGTATGGCACAATTAACAAACACATAAAATTTGTTAGATGAAAAGTTTGTCTTCATCTATAACTTGATGCACTTAGATTAGTAAACGTAGTATTTTGAGAAAAAAAATCGGCCAACTGAACTTAATTAAGTTCTAATCAAATTAAAAAAGGATCAAAAAATATTAAATTAATTATATTGTTGTTATGACTCTAGAAAAATGTAAAGTATTAGTTACAGTAACGAAATAAACCAATCAGAAGTCTTTTGGGGAAATATAGGCTACCCTGGAACGCAGTTGTCGGTGCACAGAAAACTATTAATGGGCTTTCTATTCGTAAGGTGACAGTAAATTTCATTTAAACAATAATAAAAGAATAGCTATTAGTCTATCTATTTCGTTTTTGAAATTCAGGTGAGATTTAGAGACGAATCAACAGACATCTTTATAGATATTTTCTGGCATTAGAGTCAATAAATAGTGATACTTGTTAACTAAAAAATGTCTTGAAAGGCCGATCTAATCGTCGTACTCTTTCGTTTACACAATTTCGATTTCTCGAAACAACGAACATAAATGTGCAATCCATCATAGTCTTCTGCAATCCAGCATATGGTCGAGATCTGTTCCCGTATGACTTCCATATCTTTGATGAGTGCTAAACAAAAGTGTGGTCGATTTTAAACAAATGTCATACTGTGCAAACAAAAGAAAATTGTTTTTTTTTTTACTACCTTTAATACGTATTGTGTGGCTAGAGTTACAAAGGAACAAATCTCTAAATCATGCAAGATTTGACGATACTTTAGAGCATCTGTAAAGAAATTTTTTAAAATAGAATTAGGAAATACATTGTTATATTCTGAAATATTGATATTTTTAAGCATCGTAATAACAATATTTAAATAATATTTTCAAGACATATTTAAAACGTCCTATATATCATGGTAATAGATCATTGATAAATATGTAAATTAATAAATAGTTATGAGTTATATGCAAGGTATTTATTGTTAACGATATCGAAAATAATTATCAGAGATATAAGAATTTTTCATGCTCCTTTGGTAGAAATATACAGTGAATGGAAGATGTCACAGAGGGGTATTTTGTAGATTTAACCAGTAGTAGAATGCTGACCAGGCAATGTAGAATGCTGGTCAAGCAAAGTAGAATACTGGTCAGACTACATAATTCAAAAACTAAACTTTTTTATGGTAAAAGTTCATTAAAATTGCAGTAAAATGGAATTTTTCAAGAAAACATGACGTGATGGAAATTTTTCATTATTATTTTTCATTTTAGCACCAAAAAATACATAAAATTCAACTTTCAGTGTCCTTGTATTTTTTTCATCCCAGGCCTGTGTTACGGTTCCTTAAAAATGTAGAAAAAAATAATAAGCACTCTGAGTAGCTTACTTAGGTTTTTAAATGGGTGTTCATAATTATTATTTCAAGAATCTTAATAGCCTAAATTTTGAAATAATTCTGACCGTATATGGGGATATGAGCATCAGCTGATCAGCTGAATTATGACCATCCGCACATCCTAGAGCTGGTGTTAGCTCATTGTTTGTCTCTATGGAAACCCTTACGAGTGTTTTTCCGTTCTCACTGAATTCATGCATTGAACTCCTTTGTACTCTATATTGAACTGCTCTGTATTGAAGGCAAAAATGCTTTATCTGATGATGTCAGTATTTTCTTTCTTTTTTTAAAAAAAAGTGTAAGTGATTGACCTCTTACTCATCTGTATTGAATCAAAACATGCTTTAGCTTATAATGTCAGTAGTTTCTTCCTATTGTTTTTTAAAAAAAATATTGAAACCCTTTCTCACCTGTATTGAATGCCTGTGTTAAAAATTATACTATTTCTGGAATATCTGGATTCTTTTTTTATGTCCTAGACATTTTTTGTGGAACAATGCAAAATAATTTACTTTATGCCAACATTAAACCAGTTCATAACCATATCAATTTAGTAAAAAAAAATTGGGTAATTAGGACCGTATTCTTTTAGAGAATAATATTTATTTTAAATACTAATAGTAATAAAATGTAGTATTAAACACCGAAGCTTCGTTATAAGGCGATTAACCATTAGCACATTATGTTACTGGTCAAAATTACCTCATAGTCATAATTACCCAATTTGGCCTTAATTCGTTTATGATTAAGGTGAAAAACGCTGAAAACCTTTTGATCAAACAAACAGCTTTAACCATTAATATGCTTTGAACTATCAATATGCTATAATCATGGTCATAGAATTTTTGCTGCAGATTGATAGCTAATATATTGTTAATTAAGTATTATTTTCATGTTTTTAAAATTCTTATTTTTATTTTTCTATGGTGTAGAAAAAATGCCTTTTCAAAACAATCAATCCAATTCTTGCTTATGGTGTAAGTATTTTCTTTTTAATAAATTATAATATGCCTTAAAAAATAAAAAAATTATAACCATAATTAATTTATAGAGCAAGCTTGAAAGAGAAAAAGATACTCCAAAACGTAAGGATGAGTTTGCTGCTATAGAAAAATATTTGGTGAGTTAAAATTTATATTATTCTCGTGCACAGATCTTTATAAAATACAATGGCTTAACATGTTTTTAATCATCTTATAGTAAGGATTAAAAAGTTTCTGTATTGATAAGTAGTGAATAAAAAGTTCAAGTGAAAGGACGAAAAAATGAAGAAAAAAACGTAACAAACTCAAAATACATTTCCAGGAAATAAAAAGTTCAAAATAGCCTTAAATTTTACTGAAAATGTAGGAATAAAATTTTTTTTTAATTTAACAATGAATTAAATTTCAAATTAAACGTATAAAATTTTAACATGCACAAAAATATCGCAAAATGAATTGAAATAGAAAAGAAATTAAAATATAATGTATGCATATAAGAAGAAGATATAATTTATGTTAATTTTCATTTGAAATTCAAAATCTTTAGAAATTTTGTTTTTACAGTCGGAAAATATAGTTCATTACTAAATTAACTTGTTAGACAAATTAGTTTAAAATGAATCCCTGAAAGAGACTCTGAATTAAAAATTATATTTCTTTTTAAATCGCAGAAAATTTCGTTCACAGTTAAAATTTTCAATTTTGAAATTTTATATCATAACTGTTTGCCAATAACCAATTAGCAATATAGATATGCCAGATTAAGTTCACTCATAATAAAAACGTAGCATATAGTTTTTTTTAAAATTTAATGACATGTTTAACTGATACTTTTGTATGGGATGATTCTAAAAATGGAAGGAAAATTATTTTTATACAAAAAAATAAAGTAAAATAAAACTCCGGAATTTTTGCAATGCATACTTAATAAAGCATAGATTTTATATAATTAAATAAAGCACAAATTTTTAAAAATAATACTGAAAAAATTAATTTTGCGCCAATTTTTTTTTATTTTAGTAACATTCAATAAATTATTATTATATAAGAAGCAAAAAACTTACAATGCACACATATGGTTCACAAATATGTTGTTTGTCACTACTAAATAAATGAATAAATGCATCAAATAAATTGATTAAGTCATTTTTCAAATGGAAAAATGATTGATGATGAGCAATTATAAACGCATATAAAAAACTAATATTTATTTATAAAAGAAATTAATGCAAATAATGAAGTAAAAATAGTTTATCAATAATAGTTTTAAAAATAGAATTGCAAGTAATGTATTTGTATGCGGAAATGCAACTGTTGTTAGCTTTCGCAGTAGAGCTGCTCAATGGGCTATTGGCGATGGTACAGGAAACATCCCTGAAGAAGATCCGAGGGCATGCTATCGTTATTCTGAAAAATTAATGATGTTTTCCTTTTTTCTTGCAACAAAGTTTTGCGAGCCCCAAAAAGCTATGTAATAGAAATGTGTTGCAAATTAAGCATAGACTAAGAATTTGCTTTAGAAATGTCAGGAAGAATATGCGTAAGTGATTCTTTGTGCTTTTTTACCTTTGAAAGCGTTTCTGAAGTATGCTCCATTTGAAAGAGTTAGTTTCTTCCTGTTCCTCTTTCATATTGTAAGTCATACGAATGGGGAATTGGGTGTAAACAATAACACGATTCTAGAACCGGAATGGGATTCAGAAAATCTTAGCTATATCCCTCCCTATATGTCTTAATATTGAGATTAATATTTCAAATTGCATGGAATTTCATGATTCATAAAAGTTTTCTATTCTTCAAAAATTCTAAAACATTGTTCGATAACTCGATTTAAGGCAATTTACAACTTGACAGAAATGAATTGCAAGAATTGCCATTATTTGAATGTTACCCTCTTTTATATTTTAGCTGAAATTAAATGGATTTTAAATTTGAAGGATAAATAGCACAAGTCATATTGTAAACACTGTTGTTCAATAATAGTATACTAACTGTTTTTAAGTTTAGACATAAAAGTAATTATTCAGAAGTCTTATAACGAATTTATTCCTCAGTAGACTGATTATATGACAGGGTTTCCAATAGATAGCAGAAATCAAGCAATGCAGGCAGTATTCAATGAGTAGAGGGTGACCATTTTGAGATGGAACAAAGGGGTGTGGTATCTGTCGTCATTAAACTATTTTAACCGGAATTGCTCAACTTTGAGCTGTGGATCGTTGTTTTAAAAAAATTTAGCAGCCACTCCTTATTCAAAGAATCAAAATTGCGATGACACATTTTTGGATTCTCCTCGGTCATATTTCTCAGACCATTGAAAATAGCTCATTTTGCTGCTCTAATGCGACGTAAATATACTACTTTTTCTAACGAATTTCAAACACTAGCACCAACATACCTACCGTTATATAGTTTTGCATTCTTAGACCTCAGCTGCTTAGTTTCAGCATCACGAACAAGATTTGAAGTAACGCTTTTATGCGCTATGTGGAATCCCTTTTAGGAACCACTATTTTAGAACACATTGTTAGGAAAACAGCACTATTGAATAGCTATTACCTTATTTGGCGTTTTGATGGGCATATTTCTCTTAGGTATTTAAATTTAACTTCTGGCGAAATTTTATAAAACTTTTCTCCCTTCTTCCTAGACTTGTCAAAAGGCAATCATGGAATCCTGCATGGCGTTTCCATATTATTGCAAGAGGTAAGTGAAACAAATAAATTAGTTTAAAAAAATTGTATTCCACAAAGAATAATTTTTTTAGGCGAATAAATTACGAAACGGAATATGTATTGAGATTTTTAGTTTATGTTTAAGATTAATTTTCATATAAATCTAAAATATTCAAGAAAATTGCAACACTAGAATTGAGACTTTTGAAATCAAGTCTCAGCAAATGCTTAAGAAGCTATGTCTAAAATATCTTTAAAAAATTAGAATTATTGACATTTTTTGGATTCATCATCTATAGTTTTACATGATAAAGGTCTTTAAGATAAATTGTTTCATAGCATTAGTTGTTTAAGAGCAGTTGCTTGCTGGACCACATTCCTATTGGTCACAGAATAATTGTGTAACAAGTTTTATTAAAAACTTTGTTCTTAATATCTATATCTCCGAAATTCTTCAAGAGATCCTGTTCAAGATTCAGATTTTTACCCACTGCTTAATAAAAAGTATGTACCTATTGTTTAATAAAAAGCATGTAAACTAGATGAAAAAAACTAACGTATTACTATCTCAATGACAGTTTTGGTTATTCCCATACTTTCCTTCACAAAAAGAGGACAAGATTGTGAAATAATTCTAGTTTAATGGTCACACATAATAGTTTTATAATAGTACTTGGAGATGAATTCCTTAAACTTCATCTGAGTGTTTTAAACTTTTCCATTTATATATCCTATTTATGTTTGATCCTTAAATAACTGTTCGAGGAAGTCGATATAGAGCAATTTCTTGGATCAGTGGATAGAATGTTTTTTCTCCCAATTCGGTGATTCAGGTTCGGATCCCATGAGTCGTTGGTCGTTTCGAATTCTGTGGCCGACTCACTCCAACCTCAGTTCTGATATAAAAATGTTCTCAATGATTGATAATGGGTTAGATTCCTAGAAAATCAAGGAAAATATCGTAATTCAGATCCCAGAAAATATCCTATTCCTATAGGAAAGCATGGAAGGCTTCCTCTCGACGTGTCGCAAATGCGGATTTGTTCCATAAAAAAACTGAACATTGATGTCAGCAAATCCAAAAATGAGAATACTGTTCAACGCCTGTTATAAAATGAAATCTTTATTTATGCAAGCTCATTCTTCCTCATTACTATATTGACAGGTCAAGATAACTATAAAGAACGACCTAGAAGTTTAAAGAAATCAATTTAAATACTGGAGGGAAAGATAGAAATGAGCGTTTACAGTGTTTTGTTCAAAAACCAGCTAGTTTTTCTTAACAAATCTCAAAATTCGTAACAAATGTTTACCAGCAGTTGACAACAAAAACTATAAAATAATGTTCTCTGCTTATCATAAAAACATTTCATATGAAATATCTATCTATTAAATTTATATTCTGAATTTACATGTTGAGATGCAATCGGTTGTTGCCTTGCAAACCGATAGTTGGAAGTTCGATCAGTTTATGTACTCTGTCACTAACATGATATTTTTTTTTATTGTTTGGTATTTCTTTAGATATTGAGTACAAGCTGTTTTGAAAAAATTTAATTGCAGTGGTTTCTAGATTGCGCAATTGGTTTTGATTATTCAATTGATCACACACCGATTGAAAAATGGTGTCTTGCTTTTTTAAATATTTTTTAAAATTTTTGGGCGATTTCCATCAATAAGAAAAACCAAAAAAGACCGATTTTGAAATCTTATATGAAAAACATTTTTCATTCAAAATTCTATGCTGAAAAGTAAATTACGTCTTTGAAAGATGGTTTTAATACTTAATGTTTTTATTATAATTTACAAGATTCAAGTTCTATCCAAAATAATTAGTTTTTAATTAAAAATAAATAACTATTTTTTTTTGCATTTTTATGATTAATTTATTTTCAGTGATTTGATCTAATGGATGGAGAGAAAGATGAAAAGACAAACAGAACAAATAGAAAAAAAGATCTTTTCATAATAAATTACAGAACAAATAGAAAAAGATCATTAAAACAGAATAAATAATGTAATTATTTACTTGATTAAAAATTTGCTGAACTAGAATCGGAAGGCCTGAAGTAATAAATAATTTAAACTGCATATTTGTTGTTATTTATTTTTTGTTTTTCAAAGAATTTATTTATTTATTATAAAAAAGACAAAACGAATACTGCAAGTAAAGAAATCCATTTACAGTGGTGCATATAATGGGAGCAAAGAGCGTCGTTGTAACAATAGAACACTTAAAAACAGAGTTATTTATAATACGTTTAATATTAAAAATATCAAGTGTCAAGACTTTTGTGTAATTATATTTACAAAATGAGCTTTAAATATTTTTCTCATTTCCTATATTGCGACTTTTAACAAAAAACTGAATCATATATAAAACAGCAGAGCAATAATTTGACGATTTTTTCTCCGTTTTTGACGAAACCGTTTCCTGGTATTTTCTCCGAGCGATCACTTCGACAAAATGACGAAATAACTATCACTTCTTCGAGTAAATTAATTTCAATGTATATATATATATATANTATATATATGAAATTATTTGTTTTCGACCTGAACCTACAATTGTGATAGACGAGGAAGATATGAATTAAAATTATCTAACTAATACCAATTAATTGTTGAAGTATTTAAAAGTAGTAAAGGAAAGGAAAAAATAAGTGCATAAAATGAAGAAAGAAATAAAACCAAGGCAAGGTACGAAAGGCGATAGAAAAAACCAAAATGATAGTAGTGTTGAGCAGCTAAAGAGAAGGACTTCTGAAATTTCAGATATGAGTAAAGTGCGAAAAATTATAGATAATTGATCAAATGAAGCAAAGGAAGAATAATCTCAAGATTATTCTTAGCGTTTTTATTAGCGTTTTTGGAATAATCTCAAGATTATTCTTCCTTTTTTTGCTGTAGTTTGTATATCAACACGCTGGGCATTAAAAATATTATTAAGAACATAAAAGAAGCCTGAACAATAAGCTACTTTTAAAAGTTATACCCACGGAAGAAAGAATTAGATGGCTGATAAAAGACTACACAACAGGTAAGAGACTGTATAACTGATAAAATGTTTTTTTATTGATATCGAAGAGCTATTAATATTTCAAATGACCACTTCTAACCACATTACAAGCAGTAGAAACACAAGAAACTTTCCAATTACTCCAATATGTTGCATAAATCTTACACAGAGCCGAACTATATTTTCTCCCATTGTATATTTTAATCAGGCAACTCATACGAAACTATGATCTTTGTTTATTTTTCATCCTAAATTCATAATTTAAGTTTCTTAAAGAATAGAATAGTGGTGACTAAAAATTGGTAAGCGATTAAAAGCAACTACTTTTATATTTTTGATGATTTGTAGCGTTTTTGGATTAAGTTTTGTCACATTGTCAACATTGCTCCGAAATTAGTTAAACACTCTGATATGCAAATTGCTCCGGATTTGACACAATATCTTGCAAAACGGTGTAGAACTAAAGACTAAAATTAGCGGATTTTTCGTTAATTGCACCACGGCCTGCAAATTAATAATAAACTTAAGAGATGCAGTTGGCTGTGAACCAGCTGCAGAAACCAATGGATTGATCATTAATTGCCTCTGCCTTTTATTATCACGGGAAACTTAAATGGAATAGTGTTAAAAACAAATACACGAGAAAATCAAATTAAAAATTTTATTGACATTCACCAGCCTAGATTATACTCTCTGTTAGAATCTTCATTCTAAAATTACCGGTAGCTGTCAGTCCTATTAATTAAAGGTAAAGTTTATGGTGAAGAATAATTTTACTCTTTCGGTTTTGAAACCATTTAGACTGGTATGATTAGAAAATAATGGCGGTTTTTTAATCATATTAATTGTATATGCCATTTTTAATCCATTCACAGCTAGCATGGATGTAATAAACTCTTTTGTATTAAGCAGCTTTATGGGGCAACAATTTATGCGTGAATGAGAATATCGAAATCTGATAGTCTGGCGTTGTTTTGTTTTACATGAGAGAAAATTGTATAATATCTTTTAGTCCAATTTGAAAATAACCTCAAAGTTTTTACAAAATAACCTCAAATGTTTCTTAAAACTAATGAATCATTTTTGTTGTAAGTTTAATTGCAAGATGCATTTTTAACCATTTTTGAATCCATTAAAAATTTAAAAGTTTTCCATTTCTTATAAGAATGTGAACAATGTGGTTTAGTTTGCACAAATTAAGAGATTAGAATTTTTTCAAAAAATAAATAATCTACTCTATTAAAATAACTACAAATTCTACAGAAAAAATGTTAAATGTTTTTGATCTTGAATGTGATTTTTATACGTAAAACCTTTAAGATGAACACATCTTAAGATTTTTCTTCATAACCATGACACTAAAACTATGGCTCTATTGACAGAGCGCTCGTTTTCCTATGATGTGTCTTGGGTTCGAACCCCGACGTTTGCTGATACTGCGTAATTTCTGCTCTTAGCTTGCACCAATGACAAAGCTTACATAGATATTTTGCGAAGTTTTTTTTTTGTTTAACACGTTGACCGCCATGCTAATTTTACATGTCTTGCCCGTCAGGCCACAACGGTAACTAACTACAAACTAAATTTGCAAATATTAGACAGATTTTGCTACTTTTTAAAAGTTATAGCATGACTCTGAACAAAGAATTATATAAGCCCACGAATTGTTTAGAAATAGTGGGGGATAAAAACCTAGTAAATTGAATTTATTAAACTAAAAATCACGATAATTAAGTAAATTTTGAATAAATTTTCTGCAATTCCATAAAAGAGTGTAAATTTTTTAGTTCTATATCATGTTATACGCTGTCAGCCAGCTGTTTTTCTCGGCCTATGTGAAAGGTCAGTGTCAGCCACCGGTGGTTGACGCGGCCTAAATGTAATTTCAGTGTCAGCCACCGGTGGCTGGCGCGGCCTAAATGGAAAGTCCAGTGTCAGCCACCGATGGCTGACGTGGCGCTCAACGTGTTAAATAAAAATATTTAGATGCTTAAAAAGCGGTTGTCTGCGGTTAAATAACACTATTTTTCTGCGAAATGAACGCTTTTATGCTGGTATACCTGCTGACAGTTTATTTTTCTGCAAATTTAACAGATTTGTTTTTACTGTGTAGTAAAGTCTAGTCGAAAATGATCCATGACATAATGAGAAGCAACGCAAAATTTTTCAAATAATAAATCTTAAAACGTACGATTCTATTTCATTTCTCCACAAAATTTAAAATAGTGGTATTTCTTCTTAAAAAAATCTTTAAAAAGAGTGAAATCTTTTTAAAGCCTTTTTAAAGGAACTTACTGTTGCATATTTTGCAAAAATAACTGAAGATTCCAAAATCACTCTGATTTTTTATAAATAAAAGATCGGTTTTCAACATTCCAATTTCCTAAAATACTTGAAAAATTTTCTAAAGGAAATAGGCATCTAACATAATTGGAATTTCTTTGGCAGGCAATTTATCTGCTTCGCAAATGTTTGAAATTGTTTATCTTTTTCAACAGATTATGGCTGAGTTCAATGAATTTCTTCTCCAGTGTATTATAAATTATTTTTTTCCATCTAATTTATACAACTAAATAGTTTTTTTAGTTATCTTTTTAGCGAACATTTTTATTAAAAACAATCAGTAAAAAAAATCGGTATTATTGGGATTTTTAGAGATGATTATCAAATTCCACAATTCATACCGATTCACTGCATAATTCATCAATAAAATCTCGTTAAAAATATTTAAAATATCCTGATGTTATGAAAACAGTGTTACACATTGTAAATTACATTCGCACCGATGCAAAAAATCATTGACAATTCAAAAATTTCTTTAAAGAATTAAAGAACGAAGAACTTCCAAATGTCATTAATTTCTTTTGCATTGTTAGATGGTTATCTAGCTACAACTTATTAAATTGTTTTGTAGATTTGTTTGATCCGATAACTGCATTTCTAAAAGGAAAGGAAATAACCTATTCAGAATTAGACGATGACGAGTGGTTACAAGACTTAAGGTTTTTAACTGATGTCAGGGAACATTTGCAAACATTGAATTTACAATTGCAGGAGAAAGATAAAGTAATATCTGACCTCTCACAGTGTATATTTAGTTTTCATACTAACTTACAACTTTTTCAAAAGGACATTAAAAGAACATTTTGTCATTTTCCTCGAATTAAAAAAAAATTATTCCAATATTAAACAAGAAAAACCCAACGAGTATATAAAAAAGCTAGAAAGAACATTGACAGAATTCCAAACTGGATTTCAAGACTTGAAATATTTTAAATAGTCTCTTGATTTTTTTTCTGAATCCATTTGAAATTAACATAATTCAAGGCGAGTGTTTTTCATTTCCAGTATAATTATGACCCAAAAAGCATTTGGAGAATTAGAATTAATAGAGATGGAAGAAGATAAAGCTCCACAATTAAAATATAGGTCGACGTCGATTACTGAATTTTGGAAATTTGTACCAAATTGAAGTATCCTGAATTAAAAAAGGCTGCTAGTACAACGTATTTATATGAATCATTTTATTCCACTTTAAAATTAGTGAAATCCAAACACCGATCATTATTAACTAACCAGCATCTCAAAGAATTACTGAGAAGTGTTGTCCCCAATTATTCACCAAATTTTAAAGAATTATCAAGAGAAGTAAAATAAATGTGTTAAATTTTTAATATTTAAATTCAATGCACATATTTTGAGCTTTTATTTATGTGTTCTCAATAAATATAATTTCAGTAAAAAAAATTTTTTCATACCATTTTTGTCTAGCTTTTAAATACGTATTTAATTGCGGCTAGCGCAAAATTTCAAATTTTGAAAAATGGCTCGACTATCAAGGAGCTTGGCCACCCCTGATATATATGAAAATATTTTGAATCTTAAAAATCTACAAATGAAAGTAAAGAAGAAAAAGTGTTTCAAATATTACTTTTCTTTAAATATGCAATATGCCTTGTAAAAATATATATTTTTGAAAGAGTTTCGTTTTTTA